GGAAAACAAAAAGGCTGTGAGGATAAATACCTGTGCTTTGTGGAGCAACTCAGAAGCAACTCAAACACACTCTGACAATAGATATTTCATGCTATATGTGCATAGGGACTACACGTCATATGGACCATGCGCCCTGCACCATCCACACACAAAGAAGAGCTGCTATAAATGCATACAGAGCAATTACACAGCAATGGCCAGTAGATTCAGTAGGTGTTGGACTAAGAAAGTTGCTGCAGTGTCTTCCTCAAAGTGTAACTTGGGATCTGAGCATAGAGGACCCTCATTCTGAGAAGGCATCATGACAGATGCTGTAAAGACTGTGGGGCATTTAAAGTCTGCAAGGGTGGAGGTCACATCAGTATTCTGGGTAGGCAGTGCATAGGCTAAAGGTAAGGTCTAACTATATGACCAAAGCAATAAGCTTGTAGTAGTGGCAATAGCAACAGTGACATGGAGCTTCCATTACAAGCACCTACTACCACACAAAATAAAAATATCAGTGCTTTGTCCAGCTGACAAGTAAAAACATGAATACAGTGCAAACTATTTCCTGACAGATCTCTGCTTCTACTGATTGACATTTCTATCAGTCCCAAATCAAATGGTTACTTAATACAAACCACCCATGTCACTGCTGGGCACACAACAGTGTTTAGGAGTCAGAGGCACAGATGAGGATGCCATCACATTGTATTTTTGTACAAACACAGCCAGTGAGATGGTCTCTTCCTCAAGACCTTTCAGTATAAATATAAGGCAGGAAGAAACAGAAGAAAACAAAACCAGATGGGTATTACAAAAGCACTTTGAGAGTGTATTGGCAAGATAGACGCGTTCTTTTAGGCCCTGTAGACAAAAAGAAATTGAGGAGGTTTTGAAGCAGGGTGCTTTTTTTGGCAGATGCTCTTATGTCTGCATTGTTTGCAAAAGGCCTTTGCTAATTAATTGGGAAATTACTGATTTTATTTCTGCAAGGCCACGCAGACAGGTGCAGATAGATAAAAGCAAGCTCTGCTCATGCTCTGAGCTGCCCAGACATAAGCTAGCTTCCGTCTGGAAGATGTAGAGTCACATTAATGTGGCACCATGCCCAAACTAACATACCCTGCCTCTCAGGAGTGCTCATTAGCTTAGATTCATGCAGTTATCTTAGTTCTGGAGTGGGTCTTTTTGGTATCTGACAAGCTAAGGGCAATGGCAAGGTCTTTCTGGCCTCCTCTGTGTACGTATACCTTTACGTCACTACATGTTGCAACCTTTTGTTGAGAAATGGACTGTTAAAAATCACCAGGTCTCTTCTCCCAGTTGACCTCCTAAGGAAACGTTTGTCAGTCTGCCAAAATGATAAAAAAGCCACATTAACATCTCATGGTTCAGCTCATACCATCATGTAAGCACAGCAATGGCTGCAGGAGAAGCTAATGCACGAGCTGCCAAAGCACTGAGGTAGGAAACAGGAGTATGGATTACATTGTTTATGAAGGCTGAGTACCGACCATACAGCCCTCAGCATGTTCCTGCAATGTGGCCAAGAACCAGGTTGCACTCTCATACCAGAAGTAATTCAGCATCTGCCTACAATGGAAAATTTGGGGGAACACTGTGATGGACTAGATTTCTTCCAGGTCTGAAGGGGGAGAGAGGAAGACCCCCTGGCTCCCCTCCCTTTCTGACATTTCAGGTAGCACAAGTTTTCCAGCTCCCAGAAAAAGAGAAAGACATGCAGGTATGCTGAATTTCTTGCCACTGACCACTGTTAGGATTCATAACCCATCACCCTACAATAAAACGACAAATTTGACTGGTTGTATATTGAACTGTGGCTACTGTGGAAAAGATACAGGATTCCGTCCCCACTGGTAATACAGGATATGGGACAAGTGCGCTCAATTTAGCTTTTATTTTCTATCAGACATAGGAAATTGCACTCAGCCATAGGAGAATGCTGCTGAGACTGCAACATGAAGGACTCAGTTAGGGGAGAAAGGACAACACAGGTGCTCTTCAGATTTTAATTCTGCCTCCTTGCGTTTATTTCTCTATGCTAGTTTCAATTTTCCATGCGAAGCCTCCATTTACCAGTAAATATTTGCACAAAGGGCAGTATAAAGATTACACAAGGAGCTCTAATTGTGGTGTTCTGCTTGGCTTTGCAGCCTAAATAATACTTTTTAAATACAGCTTTAAAAAACCGTATCAGGCATATATAATTGTATGATAACATTTATACTAATATACAGATCAGAGATTTTACCATAGTTACGCCTGGAGTGTCTTTTGTGAGCAACTATATGCTTTTTTTGTCCAGCCTGCAGACTGCTACAACAGCTGAAGCAGCATAAAGCTGCAGCTCATGCAGTCCCTGTTAGCAGGGCCAATTAGTTCAGGTTAAGTGCTGCACTAGCTACAGCTAGACAGCTTTTGGCCATTGCAGAGCATAGGTGGATCTTTTGCTTGTAAAAGAGCACATACACATATCTTGTGCTGAAGAATTTCCAAGCACGAGCTTGAGAAAGCATTCTATTCAGGGCAATACTGGAATAGGCTGACACTTAAGTCCTTCTGAAACCAGAGGGTAATCTGTGTTTAAACTTAGTCCTGTGCTTTAATCTGCTCTTTTACTGTTTTGCTATCCTGAATAGAGATAAACGTAAGCACGTGCTTTCCTGAGTGGAGCTCTAAAAACATTACCATGCAGCAGTTCAGACAAAGATTTATTGGTGTCAAGTCTAGCCCCTATCAAAGAACAATAACACATAGAACGAGCATTCCATCTGGGAAATGAAAAGCTGTTTCACTTTGTAACTATAATGCACTGCATTAGAAAGTAAATCCTACACAGGTAAGAGAGGAAAAAAGCCTTCTGTGATTAGAGTAATTTTATTGAAAATTATCCAAATGACAGAGTTTCAGATTTTATATACTCGATTTTACGACGGTTGGCTCTTTTGAACTGAACTCTGAAATAATTGGCCAAATGCCCTTTTAAAGGTTTAGAGAAACGTCAGTCTTAATCTTTTGCAGCAGGGGTCACTATAAACAAATCTAAAGAAACCTGCCACCATAGAATACATATGCCAGAACAGACAATAGGATCACTTATTATAGATAAGGAACGGTGTCACCGTAAGCAAGCAATAGAAAAAAAAATACAAAACCACCAACATTTTTATATTGGTAATTTCTTCAAAATCAGTTGTTCTGGCTTAGCCCATCCTTACAAGAACACTAACCTATTTTTAAACTATTAATAGAAGAGAAATAAAGTTGACTCCACGATATGCACTTAGCCTTGGGAATTTTAATGCGGTGCATCAAAGGAGTCAGATGACACAGGCGGTATTTTTATGTTCTGCACAAAGTTTCTCTGAAAGTATTACAAAATATAATCAGACCAAGTATTCAAATATGATTTTAGAGCTATTTATAGTCACAATCTTCTGTTCTTATAGTGCACCAAGTTCTATATTTAAAGACTGCTTTCACATTGGCATAAGAGCAGCATCTGATCTGAAATATAAAATCTCCAGAACCTCACCTATTGTAAATGACAATGTTTCAGATGAAAAATTGTCTGACGTTCTAACATGATTTCAATTGTATTACATTAGCTGGTTAAATTACAATAGCTCAGTCTTAACAATGGATTTCCCTAGTATTAGACTAAACTAGTATGCTCTTACTAGGATAAAATTCCAAGTGAACCAGCTCTGAGCCTGGAAGCTCTATTACCTTTAAATATGTGAACAGTCATACTGAGGTCTGTGAGTCAGATCCTCAACTTGTGTAAATCACAGGCCCTATTTAAGTCAACAGAGCTATGACAGTTTATATCAGCTGAAGTTTTGGCACCAGAGATACAAACCCATGCATAAAGACAAATATGTGCATAAGTCTCTCTCTGGGCCCCTGAAAGCTATAGAGGTCAGTAAACTTCATCAAAAGAGAGAAACTGCATTGTGTTTAAAGCCATTCATTCCGGACTGCTAAACACACATTTATTATAAAGTCAAGATGAAAAATTATGAATTATTTAAGTTTATTACACCTTAGTAACATTTAAGACGTTGCCATTCCAAGGCTGGAGGACAGCTGGCTGGTAGTTATGACCACAAGTTACAAATATTTATGATACAAAGCAGAAGACCTTTTAGGGTAATGGATGCTCAAAAGCAGCTTTAATGTAACAGCCCACTTGCTCCATTCTTCTAGTGATGGCTCCAGAAACCAGCACCCATTAAACTTTAAGCATGAGATGGATTTCACTGGATCCTTGCTGAACATTTACTTAGTAGATACAGATGAAAAAGGAATAGATGTAGAGATTGCAGGGAAGCACAACATTATATGAAACTAACATGGGTGACAGACACTTGGGACAGTTCTTCCAGCACTAGTGTACAAATGTTTGTATAGTTTGCACGGGTAAAGGAACACTAACATCCTATGTATTATGCTCTTACCTACTCAGTGGGCTGAGAGAAAGGGCATGTATTTGTGTCTTCTATGGTCACATTTGGTAGTGTGTTTCACACAATGATGATTTTTGCTTCCCAACACCCCTGTTTAAAATAACTAACCTTATTTCCCAGTGGGTTTTGGCTAGCAAAAACAGTAATGTTCCTGATGTTCCTAACACCTTTCAAACTCCCATCAGCCAATAATGGAGCGTAGGCATTTTGCATGTCCACTCATTGTCCTCTGGAGTGAAAGGTGGCTGACCCTCTCGCACTGTGACAGAGGCGGGGACCCTGTCCCACAGCTCTCACACCTTCACCTTGCCCAACACGACGGGGAAAGCCCATACCCACCGACACGAGGGAACAGGGCAGCCGATAACCACGACCTGACACCGCCATCGCGGTGCACCTCAGCAGCCTGGAGGCCGCGTTAGGCCCTGCTGGGCCTCCCGGGGGAATCCTGCAACCCAAAGAGGCAGGGAGAGGGGAGACCCGGCCTTACCCAGGTCTGATGAGGCGCGGGGAGAGACGACACACCCGCACGGGCGGGCCGGCTTCCACCCTGCCCGGCACAGGCACAGAAATCGGCTTCCCTGTGTCCCAGCGGTGCCGCTCCGCTCCGCTCCGCCTCTCCCCGCTCCCCTCAGGGTCACAGCTCGGACCCGGGCTGAGGCCAGATCCGCGCCCGCCGCTGCAGCGCCACCTGGCGGCCGCACGTCCACCCGAGCCCCGCCGGCAGCGGGAGGGCAGCGCGGCACGATCCCTGCTCCCCGGGGACAACCCGACCCCTCGGGGAGCACTCAGCACCACCTTCGCTTCTGCCGCGCCCCTCGGTACAGCGGGAACACGGTGGGGCCGTGGGGCAGACGGGGCCGGGGCAGAGGGCGGGGCCTCCGCCGCTCCCGCCCCCCTCCGGTGCCCGCTTCCTGCGGCGCGGCACCGCTGCCGCTTCCTGCTCCTCCCCGCGGCGCGTCGGGCGGGGGCCTCCGCCATGGCTGCTCTGGCGGCCCTTTCAAACGCGGCAGCCGGCACCAGCGGGTAACGTCGGGGGAGCCTCCCGTGCCTCCCGTCCCGAGGGTGCGGGTGAGGCCGGGCGGGCAGTGGCCTGCGGGGCTGCGCTGTCCCGGGCGCTCTCCGTGCCGTGTCGCGCCGGCAGGAGAGGGGTTTGTGTTGTCTCCGTTGTTCAGGTGGAAACGAGATGCTTTATTCCCGGCTCTCCGTTTCTGCCCCTTGCCTGTTCCCCAGCTGGGGGTGGAAGGGCTGCTCGGGGCTTCTCTCGCCGTGAAGCTGTGCCCGGGGTCCCGCTGTGAGGGAGCGGCGGGGTGCGGGTGGGCGGGACCGCGGCACCCACCGGGCTGGGGATGAGCGGGAGGCGGCCGGGGTCCCGGAGCCGCTGGGCTGCTTCCTATGCCCCCTGCCTGTCCCGGAGCAGGATGGGCCTTGTGAAGGGGGTTGTTCTCGTGGTGCTGCCCAGGAACTGGTGTCCTTCCCAGGCAGGGAGGGTGAGATGGAGCTGAAATAGTTCCTCTTGAATGCTGTCTACAGATCTCGGGAAAGTAGGATGTTGTCTGGGGAAGAATAGGGCTTCCAAGTGTGTAAAGTGTATTTAGAGTTACGTCACGTTTCTGGACTAAAAGGCAGTGATTTCTATGGCAGTGAGTCACCAAGCAGCAGCAGTGCTTTACTGTCAACTCCCCTTGTGCCTGTAGGACTCCAGAAGTGAGTGTTATTGGTGTGGTAAACTGTTGTCACCAGACGTGCATCTTCTGCATCCTTCAGGAGCAATGACATTGCACTTAATTAAGCTGTCCCCCAGGTTTTGGATAATGTCTGTTTTCATAGATGGTTTGAGATAAGTGAATTAAATAATGCATGGAAAGTGTTGCTCCCCCCCCCCCCCCCCCATTCCTGCACACACCTTTTCTGCTTATGGCAGGCTGCTGTTGTCTTTTTCCTTAGTAGGATCAGAGGAAGCAAACTTGGAGAAGAGTGCGTGTTCCAAAAGGCATGCCCCTGGTGGTTTGCGTTTTTGGGGGTACTTCTGTAAGAAGCAGCAGTAGGTGATACCCTTGCCAGTCTTATACCTTTTTCTTCCTGGTTAGCATTGGGGACTGTTTTGCTGTGTGTGTGTACCCTCTATGTCTCTCTCTTTCTGGCTGTAGTTTTCCAGTTAGCACTGGAGTCTTCTGATTTGTATCTGCAACTCCTTTCTCAGGCAGTCCTGACTGGCTTTGTGCAGGAAAAGTCCTTGGGAATCCACTGTTCCAGCTTCTCTGAGCAAAAGCGTCTGGGAGTTTTCCAAGGTTTTAACCTTAAGAGAATTACAGTAAGTTGGATTTATATTCTGAAATACAACTTAATTTTTACAGATGAATAAAACACCTGGAGTGATAGAATAATTTCCATAAAGTTCCCTGCCATTGGTCTGCATAGTGTTTTTTCCTCTTTGCTGCTGACAGTGTGCTCACATCTTGATTTCTTCTTAGGATGTTATTCTAACATGCAATGGAAGCATCTTAAAATGACAAAATCAAGCCTACATGTAATTATTGAAGTGGGTCATTCTGCTGCTACTAGTAACAGTCTGAAATTCACTTGTCATATAGTTTTCCTAGTGCTTTTTATGTCCTGCCCCAGATGCTTGGTGTTATAATAAATGGTCGTTTGGCTGCTGCTGTTTGATTTAAGAAGAAACTACAATACAAATTTCTGTTATCCTTTATTCATGCTAGAAAAGAAGAGGCAGCAAAGCAGAGTTTGAGGAGCTTCCTGCATAGACAGATTTCCTTTCTGGAAGGGACAAGATACTTTAGATTATCTGGAAAAGAGCTTCAGGAGTTTCTGTGTCCTTTTCTGCTAGAGAGGGGTCGAGGGTTTTTTTTCAGTTACTGAAATGAAATTAATTTCCAGGTATATGTGTGGTGGACTTGTGTTTGTTTGGGTCTGCATTGTGGTGTGGGTTTGTGAGTTTGGTTATTTTAAATCCTGTGTCTTCAGGTAGAAGAATCAATTTGGTTAAGTTGTAAGGTGCAGTAGACTTTGGTGATATTCAGATCTATATTTCTTTAGTTATGAGGGATCTATGGGACTCACTGTAGTAAGGTTATAAGATTTAAATTAGCCTGATTTTAATGAGTAGCTGACAGGCAGGGAGAAGTGTGCTATTTTCGGGCATCGGGATAGCTGTAGTGCCTTGTGGAGCCCTGCATTGGAGGCGGAGAATAGAAGTGGTGGGAACAAAAGAGCTGGCACAAAACTGATGCCAAACTATTTGGAGACTAGACCTGGGATATATATTTGTCTACAATAGCAATTGTTTCAATGGTTTCAGCTCTTCTTTACTGGACAGCATAATAGCTCTGCAAAGTTCTCGTTCATATTGAAGTGGGAAGCACTTTTGAAGAATATGCTGTGACTAGTTTGGGTTTTGTGGAGAAGCAAGGCTTTAGTGATTACTGAGTGTGTGAAGCAAAGAGAATTCAGGTGTTTCGAACAATGATGTTTCATGCTGCCTGCTGTCATTTGGGAGATGGAGAAGTGGAAGAGTTTTGACTCCCTTAGTGGATCAGGGGTCTAGTGTGGAGTTTCAGCGTTAAGGTTTTAGCCTGTGGCACCGAAGCAAAAAATCATTTATGGACAGATTTGAAATGAAACAGGAGTTAGGAGCTTTAAGTATGTGTGCAAGCCCAAAGTTCCCAGAACTTGGCACATGTTGCCTGGCATGGAAGTAAAATACTGTTGGTGAGGTGATTAAAAACTCTTTTTCTCAAAGAACAATTTTTTTATTTATTTTTTTATTTAAAGCAAAGTTTCCAACAATGTACATAGAATAAGAAAAAAAAAATGTTAGTAGATGTTACTTTGAAGTTTGCTGACCTCGGGTGTGGGGAGAGCTGCTAGAACAGAGCTTGCAGGAGTTCAGCATGCCAGTTGTCAAGCCAGGGAAATCCTGCATAGGGTGACTGGACAACCCATGCACATCACTGAATGCTGCATGTGTTCTTCCTTCAGGTGATAAATAGAGGAGATGCCGAGCACTGTGAACGTGTGCAGTAAGGTTTAGCAATACTGAACACAGGTATAGGAAGGCAAAAGTTTTGCTCTGACCTGATCTGTATAAATGAGATACTCTTAATTTTTCAGCTTTATAATTGGCTCTTCTACAGCTGTGGGACTTTTCTGGATTTGGGAAGGGGACGCACAGCTGTGCCAAGCATAGTTTCTTTCCTTAATGTAGAAACCAGCTCTCACTTTGAGTCTGATTACCTGGAGGTGACAGAGAAGGAAGAGGTAAAGGCAGTTTTCCCACTGAGGCCACTTTATCTGGAAAATATAATCAGAAATAAGTGGCCATTTCATGCCATCTTGATCCCAGCATGCTGTGGGAGGGTGAATAAAAGCTCTTCCGAGCTCCCTAAACACTTGAGGCAGGAGACACCGGGAGCCATATCCCTGTAGAAGCAGAGCACAACGGTAAGGCTAGATCAGAGGTCAGTGTGCTTGTTTGATTGCATTGCCATGAAGTCAGTGCAGCCAGCATTGTAGATGCCCCATGTGGATCATAACTGTATTTGCTCGTTTCTTGAGTTTTTCTGCCTCTTCAGGAACTGTCTCTAAGCTTTTTACAAAAGATCTGTAATAGTTATTCATCGTCATCATCATTGGCATTTAGACTCCTTGCTTTTCCATGCTCTTCCCTGCCACCCCCTCTGCAGTGAATCATAGGAGGACTGTTACTCTTAGTCATTAGCTGTAGGTGTTAGCATACTCTAGTGCAGGCAGCTCAGGAGGAAAATTTAGCAGACAACTGTCTGGCAATTTGGAACAAAATCAGAAGTATTCTTGTGGATTAGAATAAACCCCCTCAATGATTCTTTAGAAACAAAATGAGTACATGTAGCAACTGTCAAATTCTTTCTCTACAAAGTGCAGTTAGCTCATTGTATACATTATTAGAAGGGGAGGTGGTTATAACTTGGCCCCACCTCACAGTGATGCTCTATGTTTGATATTCATCTCATAAATGTCTTTTTGTATTGGGCTTTTATTTTGAGCTGTAGAACTCCAGTTTGGCTTCTGACCATGCCTCATCTGTTTGTGGAGGGTTCTTCTGAAATGAGTTTTGTGTTTAAAATTCACATCTTGCCTCAGTTGAAATTAACTTTAGGTGCAGGTACAGAAGCCTTTAGGAACAAAGTTACTACTTTTCCAAGAAAAATTAGTAGTTTAATAGTATAATTAAAGTCAGAGTTTGTATATCTGAGGCCAGTCTCAGCTCACTATGTGCTTGTAATAACTGACACAATATTGATGAATGGGACAGAGGACAGATTCTGTGCTGATCTTACCATCTTTGATGTTTGATACTTCTCCAGCTTTCTGAAGAACTCCAACAAACACTTAAAAGATGATCTGATGATTTTTTGAAGTGGAAAAATCCAAGAAATCAAAAGGAAAAAACAACACCCAAACACTGAATTAGCCCATAAAGACTCAGCCTTATTACATACCACTTTCTATGCTATTTCATGCTTTCCTATGCCACTGCTAGATTTGCTATATGGTGATTCTGTTTAATTCAATGCATTGTATGAAGACAAGTAGACTTGGACTGGAGGATGTAGAACAAATATTAACCTGTTCATGAAGAATGTGGAAAATGTCTGGTTTCCTAAATTAGGGAGTTCATTTCCTATTCTCATGCTGATAAGAAGAGTTAAATTAGTCACCAGAGCTAGATGGCAGGAAGTACAATTAACTTCATAGAATAAGCTTTACTCTTGCTGTAATCTTACTTAATGTAACAATACAAA